ATGAGGGCGGCTCGTTTTCAAAATGTGACTTTCGCCTTAGCGCCGCGTCCATTCGTTTTACAAAAATTGCAAGAGCTGCACAGGTTGAGGGCGGGTGGTTTTCAAAATGTATTTCTCGCCTTAGCGCCGCGCACATTCGTTTTTAATGCAAGAGCTTCACGGGTTGAGGGCGGGTCGTTTCCAAAATGTGGCTCTCGCCTTAGCGCCGCGCGCATTCGTTCCAAAAAATGTAAGACTTTCATGGCTTGAGGGCGGGTCGATTTCAAAATGTGGCCCTCGCCTTAGCACCGCGTACACTCGGAAAAAAAATGCAAGAACTTCACGGATTGAGGGCGGTTATTTTTCAACATGTGGCTCTCTCCTCAGCGCCGGGCACAGTCGTCGTGTGAATTTACAAGAATTTCAAGGATTCCCATGAACAACGGGCCAGAAACGGCTTTCTGGAAGAATTCAGGATTACGAGGGTGAAACAATTACGTTGATTCGCAGTGTTGAAGTCCCAGGAACGGCGTTCTGGCACGACTCAGGATCGTCAAGACGCAACTGTCAGGTTGATCCGTGGCGTTGGAATCCCGAGAGCAATGCTTTGGCATGCTTCGGAATCTTCAAACGGTTGTCTTCCAACGAGGCAGTGCCATCAGTGGAAATGAACCGTTGTAGGGGCCTATGAAGAGGGAGCTCAGAGGGAGGGTTTATTCCAACATCGCTGATGACTCTTGGCTTTACACTGGTCCTCCTCCTCCTCCTCCTCCTCCTCCTCCTCCTCCTCCTCCTCCTCCTCCTCCTCCTCCTCCTCCTCCTCCTCCCCCTCCCCCTCCTCCTCTTCTTCCTCCTCCTCCTCCACCTCCACCTCCTCCTCCTCCTGCTCCTCCTCCTCCTCCTCCTCCTCCTCCTCCGCCTCGTCTTCATCCTGGCTCCCGCGTTCCCAGATCTCCGACGATATGATCTTTTCAGTCCGGGCGTTTCGGCTAATTCTCGGGCCCCGGGACCCCCCGGAAAGGGGTCAGGAGCTCTGGGGCCGCGGATTCAAAAAAAAACATGCGGGAGGATGTCTGGGTTCCCTCTCTCTCTCCCCCTCTCGCTCCCCTCCCTCTCAGACATTCTCCCGAACCAAAGCTCAATCGACCAGGTCCCTGTTGAGCCGGTCCTCCGTCGAAATGGTCATCTACCTCTCTCCCTACTTCCCGCCCCCTCTTCCGTCTTCCCTCCTCCTCCTCCTCCTCGTCCTCCTGCTCCTCCTCCTCCTCCTCCTCCTCCTCCTGCTCCTCCTCCTCCTCCTCCTCCTCCTCCTCTTCCTCCTGCTGCTCCTCCTCCTCCTCCTCCTCCGCCTCCTCCTCCTCCTAACCATCCCTCTCGGGGGACGACAGAATTAGGAGGGGCCATGCCGTCTGGTGCAATGAGAAAATTGGGCAACACTGGGGAATAGGGACGAGGCCGCTCCATGCAATGGACGTAGCCAACAACGACGGAGGACAGCAACGGCAGCATGATCTGCCAGAACGAGCTGGCGCCCGAGCCGTACATCATCAGCTCCCCCGCTGGGATCAGCTCGCGCGTCGAGGCAGGCAGCGGCAGGCGGGTCAGCCGAAGAGGCAAGGAAGAGGTACTGGCAGCGCGTCCTGCTACAAGGCAGGCAGTGGCAATTGAGGCTTGCATGACAGGACCAGCACGTCATGAGCGACGACGGTGCAGGCGGCGCGAGGGGGGAGGCGTGGAGCGGCTGCAGTGGCCAGCGCACCGAGACAGAGCTGGAGCAGCACGTCATCAGCTATAGTGTAGGAGCACAGCGTCATCAGCTGCGACGCTGGAGGCGGCGTGCGCGAGAAGTTGTGCAGCGACTGGTGAGGCCAGCGCACCGCGGCAGAGCACGAGCAGCATGTCATCAGTTACAGTGCTGGGGGCAGCTCGTGCGATAGGCAGCGAGCGCACAAGAGCGACATGTGATCAGCTACAACGCTGGGGGCAGTTCGTGCGAGATGGAGTGCGGCGGCGACAGCAGGAGCAACAAATCATCAGCTATAACGCTGGGGACAGCCCGTTCGAGAGCGCAAAAACGGCATACGATCAGCCGCGATGCTGGGAGCGGTTCGTGCGACAAAGCGCGGGGCGGCGGCGGCAACAGCAGAGGCCACCACCCCAGGGGCAGAGCAGGAGCACCACGTCGTCAGCTACCGTTAGCTGGGGCAGCTCGTGCGAGGAGGCCCCGAAAGCGCAAAAGCGGCACGCGATCAGCTACAACGCTGGGGGGCGGCTCGTGCGAGGTGTCATTGCCCCCGCCTTGAAGTCTTGTTGAAGCGGATTTCTGCGTGGATTTCTGCGTGGATGTTTGCCCGAAGCGGCGATCGAAAAACGAAATGAATTCCGCGTGTGTGTTGAAATCTACATTCCAGGAGAAAAACAACAACAAAAAACACGAAAGCTACCTCGAAATCCGGAACGAAATTATCCAGGGCACTCCGGGCCCATCCTATCGTTTTCCAAACGAAATCCGCTCTGCGATGTGGGCGCCATGAGAGGCGGCGCGCCGTGGCGGCGGCAGCAGCAGCAGCAGCGGCCAGCGCACCACGGCAAAACGGGAGCACAAACGGCATCGATGTCCAGCAGCGCCGGAGATCAGTGCGCGCGGCTCGGTAGGCAGCACTGCGAGATGCAAGGTCCCGCCTGCGCCTCGGAAGGGTCTGAAGGGGGATGAGGAGGACGAAGAAGAGGAAGAGGAAGCGATTGCGCTGAACGCGGCGACCAAGAGCCAGCCTCGGCGCACGAAACACTCACCCCCGCACGGGGAAACTTATACCTGACTTGGGAGGGAGCCCGCGAGACAACCGGGACAAGGCCTCCCTCCCTTTAGCAGTGGGCGCAACACAGCCCGTGGAAAGATTGCGGGCCTGGTCAACGCCGAAAGACCCACAGACGAGGCAATACAGCACACAATGGGAGGTCGCCAACGTGCGACACTCGTGGACAGCGGAGAAGAGAGGATGGTCGGTGGGAGGGCGCCGCGCCTGGACGTCTGCCACGGACAGCGCGGGCGGCTTGTCGCGCGCGCCCCTCTCCGCCTGGGGAGCCCGCTTCCCTGAGACTGGCCGAGCTCTGACAGCGGGACGCAAACCTTCGGCCAAAACTGAGACAGGGGCCCTTTCCGAGAGAAGGAGCGGGCACACCGAGAACATCTGAACATAGTGCTGCGACGTCATGGCCAACGGCCAGCAGCCGCCTATCCCACGCCTCGACACTGGTGATGCCCGACCTCTTACGGGCAGCCGCGAAGCCTTTAGGGGAGGGGGCCTCGCAGGAGCATGTGGGAAACACATCGCGCTGAACGGCAAGGAGGCGCAACGAAATCTTATTCTGGAGAGCGTCCGCATCACGGACAGCATTGATTTCCTGAACTCCCAACTGGCCCCTACGGGCGCCTTCACCAGCACGCAGGTCAGCTGCATGTTTCAAAATGAGCACCACTCTCGAGATTTGCAGCTCATCGATTTGTGCCTGGGAGGGGTGGGATTTCGTCCAAAGGAGATCAACCTGACCCGAACGCGTCCCGATACGATCCCACACGCGAGCCCACAGGTCCAGCATGCTACTCTTACTCCTCACAACATGCCCAGGAGCTTTCCGAAAGCTCCGCACAAGGGGAAGATAATCAGAAAACAAAAGAATATTACCTTTCGTGACTGGTAACACCATCTGCAGGGCGAAGAGATCAGAACTCGGGGAGCTCTGACAGGGCGGCGGTTACGTTCCAAAAATACCACAGGCCACTTCAGCTTCGTTGACACGATGCATGATAGCACTCCACCCACACCTCCAAAGTCTCCAATCCATGGTCTCACCACCCCCCGATCCATCGATCCCCGAGACCCCCCCTGTCAGAGGAAGGGCCCCTTGGAGAGCTCCAGAGGCCCAGGCCGACGAGAGAAAAGCGGGCAGACCGTTCACGACCTGGCCAAGGGACATCAGCCCTCGACACCACAGGGAGGGGAGCGAGGAGTCCTCCGCGATCGCACTCGGGGCTGCGTCGCCCAAGGCATTTTCGGCCGCGCACTGCCAGAAGCGGTGCACGGGCGTCTCGGGCAACAGCCCGCACCTGGGACGCAACGAGCAGGCGGCGCACCCAGCCTCGAACAGGCGAGTCTCCGCCCAGAACCCCCCCGCCAGAGCGTCGCGAAGGATGGCCTGGGATTCGCATTCGAGGTTTCGTCAACCTGCTCCAACAATCGCCTCTGCGGGGGGAGATTGACGCCCTCCTGGACCCCGGCGCCCACGCAATGCCCAGCAGCTTTACCCCAGGTCCGACGGGAACAGGTAAGCGGGAGGGCCCCCCAAAGGTGAAACCGAAAGTCCAGGCTTCCAACAGCCACGGCGAAGCCAAACTCATCTTGACACTCGCAAGGAGAGGTGGGAGCCCACTCCACATCGAAAAGGGTGGCCACAGTCGCCACCACTGGCCCCCGCACCCGCCGCCAACGACAGTTGGCGGGGATGCCCAGGCAGAGGTCGACCGCAGCAACCCAAACAGTCTTGACGCGCATGCGGTCTCGAGGACCGACATCCCGCCACAGGTCGGCAAAGCTGAGCACTGCTCATGCCGCGGGCGAAAAAGTAGGTCGCCCGAGCAACTAGACACCCACGCCAGGACCGCAGTGGAACAGGAGCCTGGGGCCCACCACCCAGAGCACAGGGCCGCTCGGCCCCGTCAGAGTTTGCAGTTGGTGGGGGGACATGCCCACCAGCTAGTGGCCCCAGGCCCCAACCGACAACGCGCATGGTTCGAAAAGCTTGCACGCCTTCCGATAAATACGCGACAACATCGCAACCTTGCCAGCGCGGCGCCGCGCGCCAAGCCTCCGCCGATCTCAGGGGCCCCCCGCCCGCTTCCAGCCGTCGCACAGGAACCCAAATCCCGAGCATGCAACTGGCGACGCATTGGAAGGCCCACAGCCTGAAGGCTAGAAGCGAGTTGAGCCCCCACGGCCCGGGAGGAACAAACAAGGGCGCACTTGGTGCTCAGCGTCAGGCCAAGGCGCTCAACCTCGCGTGCAAAACGAATAGCAGCCGGCAGCAAGTGCGCCTGGAGCCCATGCTCCTGGCCAGCGATGTTCTGGGCAGCGGCGTCGACATAGGCCCTGGTCACCACCCTGGAGAGCTCGCCATACATTTGATACTGACATGCCTCCAGGGCCTCACGCACAGAAATGTTCACCCAGGACATGCTCTGGGAGCATCAAGGCAGGACCCCGCGACCCGTTTGCAACGTACGCGACACGCTGCCATCAATCTCCAACATGCGCGGGGACGCGTGGATCAACACACTCAGGTACAACAGATCGGCACGGCTGTCAGCCTTAAGGGCCAGTCGGATGAGCAACCGCAGGCAGACAGTACCGAATAACTTCTTCACGCCCCAATGGAACGCAACGGAAATCGCTCTCTCGTGGACCGCGCGCATTCATGGTAGAGCTCACGAACCAGCGCGGCCTTCAAGGCAGACGATCCCTTGACCGCCGTGGCCCAGAAGGCAGCGCTTTCCGCAATCCACCGATCAATGTCCACCCCCCTGATCGCAGTACACAGACGGTCGCTCTGAGCCCTAGATGGTTCTGCTCAGGCCAGACCATTCGCTCTTCGCACAGCGAAAATAAAAATAAAGACGCCAGGGCATCAAGCGCCTGGGATGGAAACCCAGCAACCGCACGAGGCCCCCATCCGTCAACCCCCACAGCGGTAGTGGCAGGGAAAAACTTACACACCTGAATGTCCTTGGGGGGGGGGCCTGAGCAGCCTCCGAAGCAACGCCGCGGAGGTCAGGCACGGCGACCCCCAACCCCATTATCTCCGCAGGCGAAACCTGCCAATGACCGCCCCACAGCAGAGCCGCATCATTTCCCTGGGCAACTGTTTCACACCATCGGGGGACTTGAAAACCTCAACCGCATTACTACTGTCGCGTTTAAGCCAGGGGTGGGCCCCTCGAGCCTCATCGGGGACGGCGCGGATGAGCCGGTCCTTCAGGCCCTTCCTGGCGGCCGCCTCGGCCTCAGCCCAGGCGCGCTTCAAAACCTCAGTGGTGACTCCAACGAGGCGAGCCACCATCTCGGGGTCAGCCAATGCCCGATAGGTGACTCGATCGGCCCACCAGGGGACAGGCTCAGCAGCGGGCAAGACGGACGAGAACTCGCCAATCCGAAGGGCATCTCCATGATCAGGCCGTGGACTCGGCTCTCGGCGGAGTCTCGTCGAAGAACAATGCGAAGCTCAGACAGCTTAGCAGGGAAACGCGGACAGAATGCAAGAGTCGGATTCCGATGTGCTGTTCCCACCACCCCCCACCCCCCCCCCCCCCCCCCCATGAGCGATGGTGGACGCGATCAGATGTAGAGCAGCACCTCTCCCTCCACGCTCACCTTCGCCGTCGCCATCGGTAGGGGCACAAGCGCGAGAGAGAAACGCGCGAATAATGGGGTGCGCAAACTGCACGGGGCGCTCCGTCTTCACCCCTGCGCCGCCAGAACTCATCGCCGGAAGGAAAAAAAGTAACGAAGCCACGGAAGGTCAAGGCCGTAGCATGCAGGGCCGCCACGTGGACGCACTCGACAAATAACTTCCGAACCAAGACACGGCGAGCAACATGGACTGACAGACGCCTGCGCGCTCTGAACGACGAGGGCTCATAGACTCCAGCTTGCATATGGGGGGGGATCTTGACAACGCATGGTCAATCATAGCGCCTGGCCCCTGCGAGCGCGCGAAGTCCACCCCCACTGTTGCCATCAATCAAGCATGCACAGATTGGGGGCGCCCAGAGAGCCACGCCGTTTCGGCGCCAATGTTGAAGTCCCCGGCCAGCATCCAGATAACCCCAAGAACACGAACGAACTCGGCGACACCCCGCATGTTGGACAAGCTTCCCCCCGCGACCTCAGGCACGAGACAAAATGACAGACCCCAGCGGCCATCGCAGCCGCCTGGTTTCAACTCTAAAAACACCCACCCAGGACCCGAACCAATATCGGTGACATTGCCCCTATGGGCCAGGAATCGCCCAAAGCACTGGCTCTTGCCCACCGCAATTCCGAGGCCCCCTCGCGCCCCACCGCCCCCAGTTGGAACGCCCGCCTGCAGATGCGGCCCCCGGCCCATCGCGGCGACCTCTCTCATGGCACGAGGCGCTGCACTCCGCTGCAGGCGGTGCTCGCCGGGGGGGAAGGCATCGGAGCGGCCCAGGAGGCCCGAAGCAAAGTCTCGAGCGACCTTCGACCATGAAGTGGCGTTGCAATGCACAAACTGAACACCTGGATGCTTCCCATAAGCATCTTCCTGTCAAACGGGGGGCAAGCCGCGCGCGTGCCTGCCCCGGGGGGGGCGGCCTTGGGGCGCTCGCCGAGCTCCTCCCCCGCCGCCCCACCGCGGCAGCGGATCCCGCCCACGCTGCACGAAGCAGCGGCGCGATTCCCACTCCTCGGGCCGACAGCAGCCCCCAAACGGGGGCCCGCGGCACACTCGGAGGGCCCACGGGCCTCACGACTGCCACTTCCTCAACAACACTTCCCCCTGAGCCCCGAAGCCCCACCCAGCAGGCGCGCGGCAACAGGGGGGCCCGAGGCGCGCCACTCACGCGCGCGCTGACACACGCACTCGGACTTCAGACACCCCGCACACCAACGGATGCTAAAGAGAGGGCCCTGTAGGCACTGGGACAGGGGCGGCCTGCTCGAGAAACTCAGTGAAGTGCTCTGCGCAGGTGCTTGGCAGTGCGGTTCCAGGCGCGGGCCACGATGGGGATCTCCATTCCCTGCTGGTCCTCGGCAGTGAGGATCTGCTCCTGCCCGCGCTTCCGAAGGGCGCGCAGCTCATCGGCACCAGCTCCTGCATCACTTCCGCCTGCGTCACTGCCGGCATCACTACCAGCATCATCTTAAGCACTCTGGATGGTGGCGCGCATGGCCACGAACGCCTCCCAGAGCCCTGCAGGCATGCTGCGCCCACGTGCCCAGGCTGCGAGCTCGTCTGCCGAATTGGTGGCGAAGTCGGGCGGCTCCACCATCATGGGCGCTTGATCAGCATCACCAGCAGCACGAGCACCTCCAGCGGCGCCAACCGCGCCGACGGGGCGGGCGGGCTCGGCGGCCGCGCGCGCCGCGGCTGCAGCAGCGGGGGGCGCAGCCCGCTGCTGGCGCAGGCGCTCGGCCCCGGCCTCGCGCGCCTCCGCTGCCTTGGCCCCCTTCCCAACCATTGCAGGGGGCGCAGGCGGCGCCACCAGGTCGCTGAGGGACATTTGGAGTTCAGGACGCGCCGCCAACAGAGTGGCCGCGGCGGCACGTAGCTGCTCAGCGTGGGGATCCGGCGCTGGTGCAGCAGGGGCGGCAGCATGGGCACCACGTCCACCTCCACCAGCAGCACCTCGATCGACGTAGGCCCCACCGCACTTCGAGCACACTTCATTCCCACGATTGGCGTACTCCCAGTGGTTGCAGGACGCGCACACGTTATACTACCCCTGCTTGCACCTGCGATTGCGCCACCCACCATGACCATCTCGATGCCGAACACCACGGCGGCGGTCTTCATCATCATCCCGTACATACTTGCGCCACGGTGGGGTCCCCGACGCAGAAGACCAAGTCCAGGGCATCCGCCTTGGCGGACAAGGGAACTGGACACTCCACAGCTTACCCTCGCCCGTCAAGGCGACGGAGGAGAGTCGAGACACTCAGGTGCCTCGATCCAGACATGGGCGAACAGGCCGATAAACGGAATCAAGCCGCGGACTAGCGGTATCCACGTGATCCCTTGCGGAACAAGCATATTGAGCCAAAATGGCTACGGGGAGGAGGAGGAGGAGGAGGAGGAGGAGGAGGAGGAGGAGGAGGAGGAGCGGGGGGGAGGAGGAGGAGGGGGGAGGAGGAGGAGGGGACGACAAGGAGGAGGGGAAGGAGGAGGAGGAGGAGGAGGAGGAGGAGGGGAAGGAGGAGGAAGAAGCGGCATGTGATCAGATACATCGCTGGGGGGCAGCTCGTGTGAGAGGGCTTGCAGCGGCAGCAACTGGCAACGCGAGTGGTACGCAGCAGAGGCTCGTCGGCTACAACGCTCGGATCAGCTCCTGCGAGAAGGAGCGCAGTGGCAGCATCTAGCACTTCGAGAAGGGCACGTGGTGGGCGATGTTTCAGCAAAGTGCACGTTCGGGGCACTTGAGAATACTGTGCAGGATTGTCGGGCAGGCATGCGGTGAATGATGCTTCAGCTGCGCGCGAGAATGCGAGAATGTCGGTGGGAGGGTCAGCACCCGACCACGGCGAGCCTCTAGGGTGAGGACCCAAGAAGGCTTTGACAGGTCCCTTCTACACAGTAGAGGTAGGACCCGAGGACACCTGTTTATCCTGTGTATCCTCCTCCTCCTCCTCCTCCTTTCCTCTTCCTCCTCCTTCCCTCCAATTCTTCTCCCTCCCTTCCAGCTTCCTCCCCCTCTTCCATCCGTTCCCCAGATGGGGGCGGGCGACGCCTTCCCCGTCACCCCCCCCTCCTCCAAGTTGCATCTCTACATTTCTAGCCCCCTTCCCTCTCCTCTGTCCCCTTCTCTTCTGTCCCTCCCCTTCCCCCCCCGATGGGGACGGGCGACGCTGCGCGCCTGGCGCCACCACAGCCGCCCGAACCTCTCCCGCTCCTCGTCCGCCGGAGCGGCCTCTGGCCGCTGCGAGGCCAGCGTGATCACCTGGCGGTGGCCCAGTCCCTCGCGCCCCACCTCCCTCCCGTCCTTGTCCTCGCCCTCGTCCTTCTCCCCCCGCTCTCCTCCTCCCTCTCTCCTCACCCTCCGTCCTCCTACTCGCTCCCTCCTCGCCCTCCCTCCTCGCCCTCCCTCTTACTTCTCCTCCTCCTCCTCCTCCTCCTCCTCCTCCTCCTCCTCCATCTCCTGCGCCTCCTCATTATCCTCGTCAGCAGCATCATCATCATCATCATCATCATCATCATCATCATCATCATCATCATCATCATCATCATCATCATCATCATCATCATCATCCCCATCATCCTCATCATCCTCATCATCATCATCAGCAGCATCATCATCAGCATCAGCATCAGCATCAGCATCAGCATCAGCATCAGCATCATCATCATCATCATCATCATAGTCACCATCATCATCATCATCATCATAATCATCATCATTATCATCATCAACACCATCCACATCATCATCATCCTCATCATCGTCGTCAACATTATCATCATCATCATCATCATCATCATCATCAGCAGCATCATCATCATCGTCAGCATCATCATCATCAGCATCATCATCCTCGTCATCATCGTCATCGGCATCGTCATCATCATAATGAACATCATCAGCAGATTCAGCAGCAGCCATCATCATCATCATCATCAGAATCATCCTCTTCCTCATCAGCATCATCAGCAGCAGCATCACCATCAGCAGCAGCATCATCGTCATCAGCAGCATCGTCATCTTCATCATCATCAGCAGCAGCATCATCATAATCAGCATCCTCCTCATCAGCATCATCATAAGCAACATCATCCTCATTATCAGCAGCAGCATCATCAGCAGCAGCATCAGCATCAGCATCATTATCATCATCCTCATCAGGAGCAGCAGCAGCCATCATCATCATCATCAGCATCATCATCATCATCACCATCAACAACATCAGCATCATCATCAGGATCATCAGCATCATCATCATCATCAGCATCAGCATGAGCATCAGCATCATCGACTTCTTCTTCATCATCATCATCATCATCATCATCATCATCATCATCATCATACCCATCATCATCAGCAGCATCGTCAGCAGCAGCATCAGCATTATCAGCAGCATCAGCAGCAGCATCAGCATCAGCATCAGCATCAGCATCTTCATCATCATCATCATCCTCAGCATCATCATCATCATCATCATCAGAATCAGGATCATCAGCATCAACATCATCATCATCATCATCGTCATCATCGTCTGCATGGTCATCATCATGATCAGCATCATCATCAGCATCATCATCATCATCATCAGCATCATCATCAGCAGCAGCACCATCGTGATCAGCACCATCATCGGAATCAGCATCAGCAGCATCAGCACCAGCAGCATCATCATGAGCATCATCAGCATCAGCATCATCATCATCAGCATCATCATATGCATCGTCAGCATCGCCACCATCATAATCATCGTCATAAGCAGCATCAGCAGCATCATCACAATCATCATCAATATCAACATCAGCAGCATCATCATCACCATCAGCACAATCATCATCCTCATCATCATCACCATCATCAAAATAATCGTCATCATCATCAGCATCATCATCGTCATGAGCATCATCGTCATCAACATCAGCAGCAGCAGGATCCTCATCATCAGCATCATCAGCAGCATCATCATCGTTGTCATCATCATCAGCATCATCAGCAGCAGCATCATCAGCAGCATGATCATCATGATCGTAATCATCATCATCAACATCATCATTATCACGACGATCACCAGTGCCATCATCAGCATCATCATCATCGTCATCATCAGCAGCAGCTGCATCCTCATCATCAGCAGCATCAGCAGCATCTTCATCGTTGTCATCATCATCGGCATCATCAGCAGCAGCATCATTATCATCGGCAGCATCATCATGCGTATCCTCATGATCATCAGCGTCGTCATCATCATAATCAGCATCATCAGCAGCATCATCATCATTATTATCATCATCATCATCATCATCAACATCATCATCATCATCATCATCCTCCTCCTCCTCCTCCTCATCATCATCATCATCATCATCATCATCATCATCATCATCATCATCGTCATCGTCATCGTCATCGTCATCATCATCATCATCATCATCATCATCATCATCATCATCATGATTATCATCAGCAGCAGCAGAAGCAACATAATCATCAACAGGATCCGCTGTCATCCGCGACGCGGTCGTCCTGGGGCCCTCTTGGAAGCCTCTTGGGCCGTCTCGGAGAGAACTTTGGGGCCTCCTGGGCCTGGGCCATTGTGGACGCTGTTCAAACCCAAAGTGCGAATATGCCAAAATTCACGTTTGCCGTAAGGAATGGGACAAGTTTAGCCTCCTGGGGCCCTCTCGGGGCAAATCTTGGAACCTTCTTGGGACGTCACCAGAACCTCTTGAGCTGTCTTGAAAATTCGAGCGCCTTCGGCCCTGTCAGACCGCTCTGGTCGTTTTGTTGGTGGCCTCCGGCGCTGTTTTGAACGGTGGGTTGGCCCGGGAGGCCCTGGAAGGGGTCAGAATGTCGCAGGCCAAGAGGAGGGGGGAAATCCGGGAGGGTGTCCTGGCCCTGGCCTCAGGCCCCCGGACGCTTAGGTTCTAGTCGGTCAGAAGCAATCGGGCCAGCGGATGCTGGCCGTTGCGGGGTCCTCTTGGGACAGTCTGGCCTCCTCTTGGGGCCACCTTAGGCCATCTTGGCCCTTCCTTCGCCGTGTTCGAACCTTCTTGGGACATCTCTGGGCGCTCTTGGGCCGTCTTGGGAGCATCCTGGCCCTTAGTGGGCTCCAGTGGCGGCTATCTCGCGGGTGTCCTGAGCCGGCTTGGGACCCTCTTGTGGCCCTCTTCGGGGGCGCTACTTGGGACATCTTGGGAGCTGGGTGCCCTTGGGGAGTGATGCCCACCTTCCGTTGATTTGGGTTCTTGCTTTGAAAAGAGCAGTGCGGGCCCCACCTCCTCTTCCTTCCTTCCTCCCGCCTCCCTCCTCCCTCCTCCCGCCTCCCCTTCGACAACTCTCCGCCCCCCTCTCTTTCCTGTTTAGTCTTCCTCTCCCTCGTCGAGACCTCGCGGCTCCCTACGGGGTTGCTAAACGCGCAACTGTCGCCATCTTCGTAGGCTCCTGGGAGGTCCAGCGGAGTGGAGGTCCACGCAGATATGCCGAGACCTCGCGGCTCCCTGAGGGGTTGAGAACCGCGCAACTGTCGCCATCTTCGTGGGCTCCCGGGAGGTCCAGCGGAGTGGAGGTCCTCCCACCGCCCTCCTCCCTCCTCCCTCCTCCCTCCTCCCTCCTCACTCCTCCGCCTCCCCCCTCTCCCCTCCCTCCTCCTCCGCACCTCCGCCTCCGCCCTCCTCCCTCCTTCCCTCCTCCCTCTCCCCCCCCCTCCTCCCCCCTCTCCCCTCCCCTCCCCAACCTCCTCCGTTTTCCCTTCCTCCTCCCACCTCACTCCCTCCTCCCTCCGACCCTCCCCCACCCTCCTCACTCCTCCCTCCTCTCTCCTCCCTCCTCCTCCTCCCTCCTCTCTCCCTCCCTCGCCCCCCCCTCCCTCCCGCCCTCCCTTCCGCCCTCCCCTCCGCTCTCCCTCCCTCGCCCCCCCTCCCCCTCCCTCCTCCTCTCTCCTCCTCCTCCTCCTCCTCCTCCTCCTCCTCCTCCTGCTACTCTCCTCCTCCTTCATAATCAACAATCATCAATCACCATCATAATCATCATCATCACATCATCATCCTTCATCAGCAGCAGCAGCAGCATCAGCATCAGCACTCAGCATCAGCAGCAGCAGCAGCAGCAGCATCCAGCATCATCATCATCATCTCATCATCATCATCATCATCATCATCATCATCAGCATGATCATGATCATGAGCATGATCATGATCCATGATCATGCATCATCATCAGCGACTCGCCATCACCATCGTCATCCATCACCATCATCAGCAGAAGCAGCAACATCATCAGCATCATCAGCATCATCATCATCATCAGCAGCAGCATCATCAGCATCATCATCATCATCATCATCATCATCATCATCCGCACCATCATCATAATCATCATCAGCATCATCACCATCATCAACATCATCATCATCATCACCATGATCATCATCATCATTATCAGCATCGTCATCGGCAGCAGCATCATCAGCATTATCAGCACCATCATCAGCATCATTATCATCATCCTGATCAGCATCAGCATCGTTACCATAAACAGCAACATCGACAGCATCATCATCCGTAGCATCATCAGCATACTCATCCTCATCATCAACATCATCATCAGCATCAGCATCATCATCATCAGCCTCATCAACAGCAGCAGCATTATCTGCATTATCATCAGCATCATCGTCACCATCATCATCATCATCATCATCATATCAGCATCAACACCATCAGCATCATCAGCATCAGCATCATCATCAGCATCCGCACCACCATAAACATGATCAACATTAGCATCAGCATAATCAGCATCACCATCGCAATCAGTATCTTCATCAGCATCGTCACCATCATCATCAACATCAGCAGCATCGACATCATCAGCATCATCACCAGCAGCATCACCATCCGACATCACCACCAGCGTGGTCACCACCCTCACCATCCCCACCAGCATCAGCATCAGCTCCATCAGCATCAGCACCAACAGCATAATCAGCACCATCCCCATCATCATCATCATCATCATCATCATCATCATCATCATCATAATCAGAATCAGCATCATAATCACCATACGTAGTCACCATCAACATCATCATCACCATAATCATCAGCAGCAACAGCATCATCAACAACAGCAGCCTCATCGTCATCATCACCATCAGCAGCAGCATCATCACCAGCATTGCCATCAGCATCATCAGCATCATCCTCACCAGCATCATCACCACCGTCAGCGTCAGCACCGTCTTAACCGTCAGCATCGACAGCAAC